CGGGGACCATCTGGGATGCTGGGAATTGAACCTGGGTCGGCCGTGTGCAAGGCAAATGCCCTCCCTGCTGTGCTATCACCTGGCTCCTATCTTTCCCTTTTTATCTGCTTTGCTCAGTGACCATGTGGGGGGGCTGTCCTGGCCCTCCACAGTTCTGCCCCTTGGTCCCTGTGAACCCAACTGGGCCCTTTAGAAGAGGGGCGAGTCCCAGAGACTAGGGTGAGTGGGCACGGACAGACAGATGGGTCCCTGAGAGACCTGGTAAGCCAAGTTGAGGTGCCCGCAGCCCTGGGGTTGGCTGAAGCCCAGAGGATCCTTCCCTGGAGACGCCAGGAGTGCATGGCTTTGCTGACCGCTGATTTGGGCAGCAGGCGTCCAGCAGTGCCTCTGTGACGCCACAGTGGCCACTGCAACCAGCTCAGGACCCTGGCAGGCCCCATGCGTCCACTCAACTGTCCCTACAGTGTGCCTGCCGTGAGCACCTTCTGTGGGCTGGGCCAGGCTGACCTGTGAGTCTTTCCCAGCGGGTGGACACGCTCAAGTGCACCCCAGCTGGAAATGGGAGCATGTCTGGGGACCAGACAGGGGGCAGGCAGAGAAAAGTCCAGTGGCCACGCTGCAGAGTGGACGTGTCCGGGAGGGATCCAGGTCTGAGGCACGAGGCCCAGACTCTGCTCGGCCCCACCCCCGACCTCTGCTACTTCAAGCTTTGTTAAACGTCCCTGCTGGGGCCCCTGGCGTCCATGAGGACCACCCAGGGTTCCTGCCCGGCGTGGGCAAATGTATCCTTGCCCTCGTTCATTCCACCTCCTGGAGGGGATTCTCGCTGGACCCTTTGGTTAGTGTGGGCTCATGGGAGGCAGAGCCTCTTGCCTGGCCAGAGTGAGGCTCCCGCCCCTCCCTTAATGATGTCATTGATGACCCTTTGGGGGGGCGGGGGTGTCATCTGATGTCCCCCCACCCCTCTCCCTGCTTCCTGCTCCTGATCCAGCCAGTGGAGACCTGGTTTTCGGAACCACCGCCAGCAGCCTCTGCCCCAGCCAGGCACGGCCACTTTCACAGGACCTTGCCTGTCACCTTGAACCCCATCTGAGATGGCCACCTTATCTGCTGCTCATGTCACCCCAGCTAATTAGAAGCACCATTTGGAAGTTAACTTAATTGGAAAGCTGTAAATTAATTTAGATAGGATAACCTTATCTCCCAGAGGAAAATATTAACCCGTTTCAGGCAGCTAAGTAAGGCCTTTGGAGATACAGCGCTGTGAAGCAAGGCTGTCGCTTGGGGGTACGCAGACCCTGTTCTGTGAGGATCCAGAGTTTCCTTTGTCACCTGAGGGACATGATGCATTCTGGGCAAAATGTGGTCTCTGTGCCCACCCCTGGCCCCCAGTGTGGGGTCGGAGGGTCCCGTGTTCATGTGCTCTGTGATCTCTAGCCAAGGTGCTTCAGTTGCCTCATGATAATAAGGGGGTAAGAATCGTTTCTTAGGTCGGAGAGACCGTACAGCCGGAAAGTGCTTGTCTTGGACACTCAGGTTCAACCCCCAGCATTCCCTGAGGTGCCCTGAGCCCGTCAGGAGTGACCCTTTAACACAGAGCCAGGAGTGAGCCCTCAGCTCTGCCTGGAGTAGCCCCAGAGTAAAACAAAACAAAACAAGAACTTTATCTCCCAAGTCCGTGCCAGGGTGGAAAAGGTGTGTGCATGGGTCAGATCTGGGGCTCCCCACCTTCTCCCTCGCAAAGGGGGTGGACGGGCTGCCCTGCTTGGCCATGAGCAGCTCGGACCCTCTGCAGACAGAGTGGGCACCCTTGTTATATCTTCACCCTCTGTGGGTATCTTTACCCTCTGTAAAATTCCCTTACACGACCTCTGATTGCTGCCGGAGGCAGCGTGCCCCCGGGTGCCCACCTATATGGGGGGGAGGAGGCCCTGGAGATGCCCACCTGAGTCAGGAAAGGTGCCCATGAACCCCTCCAGGAACTCCAATCCTCTCCTCTCCCCACTCAGCACCAGCCCTGGGGCTCCTGAGTGTGCAGCATCTCACCGACCCCACCCCGGCCACAGCAAGCTGCTGTGGACAACATGGGCTGCTCCTGGCTGGAGGCTGGGCGGGTGGGGGGTCCCCCAGATGTGAGGGCTTAAGAATGGATAGATGCTCACACACAGGTATAATGGGCTGATTTCCACTGATGTCAACCATGGACTCACGTGACACTGGTGATCTCTGCACTGGCTAGTCAGGTGACCCTCTGTCTACTTTAGTCATTGTAAACTGGCACGTGGAAGAGTCCCTGCCCGGTCAGGGCTGTCTCTAGAACTTTCTGTGACTTATGGCAACATTCTGCGCATGCCTGCCTGGTCCAATAGGGCAGCCAGTTTCTGGTCCCACGAGTCTCTCGAGCCCTGGAAACGTAGCTTGCCTTCCGGGGAACCGCGTCTCATCACAAGCTACTGAGACCAGAATGAGCAAGTCACGGTGATGCCAGCTTAGCTCAACCCCTGGCAGGCTTGGCTGGACAGCGCCTCTGACTGAGTCCACACAGGGCCGGTGGGGGACTACGCCCCTCAGAGCAGTGGCAAGGAGGACAGCAGCTTCCACATGCAAAGGCCTACCAGGGCGGCTGGCACAAAGGAAGCATCCAAGGAAGGGCATCTGTGAGCCAGGTGGAAGATTCGCTGAAGCTCAAGCCTGGCAAACGTAAGGTCGAGAGTGGTGTTGCGGCGTGTGCTGAGTGCATCCGCTGGCCCTGCTGCTTGTGCCCCTGGCACAGCCAGGCAGGTATGCAAGCACGGAGGTGCGGTGTCTGGCGAGCACGTGGTGCACCCACCACTGATGTGGAAAACGGACCCCTGCCCATATTGCAAACACCAGAGAGCAGGAGATGCCAGGGGCAGCCGAGTCTGGACGACATGACGGGACCTTGAGTGGGTTCAGGATGTCCGTGACATGGTCCTGAGCTCCGTTGGTAAGCTGGGGGTGGGCTCCTAAGGTGCTCCTGGCCTTGAGGTGGTCCAGACTCTGCTTTGCAAAGAACACGCTTGGGCATCTCTGTTTCTCTGCTCTCCTGACGGCTGCCTACAGAAGCCCCGCCCCCAGCAGACAGGCGTCCTATCAACAGGGCTGCAGAAGCCCCGCCCCCCGCAGACAGGTGTCCTATCAGCAGGGCTGAAGATGCCCCGCCCCTGGCAGACGTCCTATCAACAGAGCTGCAGAAGCCCCGCCCCCATCAGACAGGCGTCCTATCAACAGAGCTTCAGAAGCCCCGCCCCTGGCAGACGTCCTATCAACAGAGCTGCAGAAGCCCCGCCCCTGGCAGACGTCCTATCAACAGAGCTGCAGAAGCCCCGCCCCCATCAGACAGGCGTCCTATCAACAGAGCTTCAGAAGCCCCGCCCCTGGCAGACGTCCTATCAACAGAGCTGCAGAAGCCCCGCCCCCATCAGACAGGCGTCCTATCAGCAGGGCTGAAGATGCCCCGCCCCTGGCAGACTGGCGTCCTATCAACAGAGCTGCAGAAGCCCCGCCCCCATCAGACAGGCGTCCTATCAACAGAGCTTCAGAAGCCCCGCCCCTGGCAGACGTCCTATCAACAGAGCTGCAGAAGCCCCGCCCCCATCAGACAGGCGTCCTATCAGCAGGGCTGAAGATGCCCCGCCCCTGGCAGACTGGCGTCCTATCAACAGAGCAGCAGAAGTCCCGCCCCCGGCAGATGGCCTGTTAACAGGACTCTGGCCTGTCTTGGGCCCAGTCTTTGGAGCACAAGCTGTGCTGGGTCGGCCGGAGTAATTGAGATCGAATCCTCCCACTTCTTGGAGCGGGCCACTTGGTTCTATCCTGACTCTTGCTGACAATTTCTGCAATGCCACAACTAAAGGAGGGTGACCCACAGTGTGTATGAGCACCATGACCACGTGTGCGCGACCCTGGTCATGCCAACAACGGCCAAGGGAGCAGGGGACGGGCCTTTGGTGGGGGCCACACCGGGTGGTGCTTGGGTTATGCACTCCTGGCTCTGTACTCAGGGATCACTGACGGTGCTCAGGGAGCCATATGGAATGTCAGGAAGCAAACCGGGGACAGCCACGTGCAAGGCAAGCGCCTTACCTGCTGTCCTATCCCTCTGGGACTTTCCTGGCGATGCTCAGGGTTTACTCCTGGACCTAAGCTCAGGGATCACTCCTGGCAGGACTCAGGGGACCACATAGGGATTGAAACCAGGTAAGGCATGAGCAAGGCAAGCTCCCTAACCACTGTACTATCTCTCTGGCCCGTGCGATTTTTTTTTTGTTTGCTTTTTTTGGGTCACACCCAGCGATGCACAGGGGTTACTCCTGGCTCTGCACTCAGGAGTTACTCCTGGCGGTGCTCAGGGGACCATATGGGATGCTGGGAATCGAACCCGGGTTGGCCACGTGCGAGGCAAACGCCTTTCCCACTGTGCTATTGCTCCAGACCCCGTGTGATTTTTTTTAATGGCTCTTGCCATTGTCATTACCTCAAACTATGTTCGTGGCCTGGCTTCTTGGAGTTCTGCCACTGAGCTGTCCAGTCCAGGCCATTGTTCACACAACTCCTGCCTGGGAAGGTCACCCCCTCCTCTTTGTCTATCCATATCCTTCCCACTTGCCAGGGTTCAGCTGGGCAAAACCTCTTCCAGGAAGTCCTCCTCTCTTTCTCCTTAGCCGAGCTTTCCTCCCATGGTGCCTCTGATCTGGGCCTCTTTGAGAGCAGCTGTAACGAATCTTACTGATTCAGATTTTCTCAGCCACAGTAGAAAAAAAAAAAACCTGAAAATCCTAAACAAGGCCAATGGTGTCTGTTTCCCTTCTAGTGGACAGCCTGAGCTGTGCGCGTTGTGTGAAACAATGAATGTTTCCAATACTCAGCCAACATATTGGCTGATCATTTTCCTCTATTTTTAGGAAAGGAGCAGGCTCAAGATCCTACGGTATGATTCGGTTTAAAATATTCTTTTTAAATATTTATTTTGGTTTCAGGGCCACCTCTGGTGATGCTCAGAATTACTACTGGCACTGCACTCCGGAATGTCACAATATGTTTGCAATGTAAACCCAGCAAGAAGCTAGACTTTCGCCTGCTTGAGCGTCTGCAAGAATCAGAAGATTAAAGATTAGCCAGGAGCAGCCAACCTGGCCTTTGACCAAGCATAAGAGACACCAGGCTCCTGGAGAGGGAGCACTCCAGGAGGAGGGCGGAGGGAGGGGTGACCCAGGGAGCGTTGCTGGAACGGGGGCTTGTGGACACCCTCTCGCCGTTCCTGCCCCAGGATGGATATCATCTTTGGCAAAAATAAGAAAGAGCAGCGGGAGCCCCTGCAAGCCCACGTGACGGGTGAGTGTGCAAGTGACTCGCGTGTACAGCCGGACACCGTTTCTGTTTGTGTAAAATCAGGGCGGCAGCGTCAGGAGGCCGGAGAGGGAGACACCCAGAGTTCAGACTCTGTCTCTGTGGCCCTGTGGTCCTTTGTGTGACCTCACTCCCATTACTCTCAGTGAGAGTCATTCTCGCTGATTCCAGAACAGTCTCTCTGGAAGGCTGCGACTGGCCAGTATGCAAAAGGTCACTGATCCCCAGGGTGGGAGGGAGAGGTGCAAATGTCTGCACCCCAAATTAGCTCCAGGATGGGATGAGAGGTGCATGCGGGCTCCACTCCTGCCTGTGCATATTGGGGTGCATACCAGGGTGTGCCAGGGTGTTTGCTGGGGTATTCTGGAGTATGCCAGGGTGTGCCAGGGTGCATGACGGGTGTGCTGGGGTATGCCAGGGTGCACACTGGGTGTGTCAGGGTGCAGGCCGTGGAAGCTGGTGTGGTTTCCTCGGGGCCCACGGCACCTGCAGAGCGCCCTCCTCAGGCCTGGCTCCCTCCACAGTCACGCATTCTTCTAACTCTGCTGCCTGGCTCTCTGGGACAGGGACCGATTCTTTTTTTTTTTTTTTTCTTCATTTTTGAATCACCGTGAGAGCAGTTACAAGGCTTTCGGGTTTAAGTCTCAGTCATACAATGAAACACCAGTACCTTCACTAGTGCCCATTCTCTACCCCACAAAACCCCAGTATACCCCCATCCCAACCCTCCCGCTACCTGTGGGACAGATGATTTCCACATTACTATCTCTCTACTTTTGATCACATTCAATATTTTGACACCAGACCCACCGTTATTATTTGGGATTTTACCCCAACACTCAGATCTGCTGAAAAGGCAACAGTAGACAATTTGTTTTCTATTGCTGGTTAAGAATAACATATGATGTCCACGTGGCTGCAGTAGTGGCGGCATGATTTTGAAATTCTAAAATTTTAACACTTAAATCTGGAGGGATTTCTGCCAAAACCTGCTGGGTTCTGAGATTTGTTCCTGAGTCTCTGGGATCATCGTCAGAGCTTGATCAGGAGCCAGAAAGGCCGTTCATGGGCGATGACTTGGGGTCTCATTGGGGTGGGGAGGAAAGGGCCGGCTCCACCCCCATCCTATGAGGCCCCATGTGTCTCGTCACTGTGGGCCCAAACCTGACTGTCCAGTGGCCTCTGGTGGATGGCGGCCACCGAGCCGCCAAGGGGGAGCAGGCTGAGGGACAGCACCCTTTCCCCCCTGGGGTAGCCCGGTGTCAGCAACCTACTGCGGGGTCCAGACGCATTTCTGCCAAAAGCCACTGAGTTTTGAGATTTGTTTCTGAGTCTCTGGGATCACGGCCATTAAGCAGTTTGATCAGGAGCCATAGAGGCCATTCATGGGTGGTGACTCGGGGTCTCGTTGGGGTGGGGAGGAAAGGGCCAGCTCTATCCCCATCCTGTGAGGCCTCGTGTGCCTCATCACTGTGGGCCTAAACCTGACTGTCCAGTGGCCTCTGGAGGATGGCAGCCACCGGGTCACCAGGGGGAACAGGCCAAGGCATGAAACCTATTCCCATCTGGGTTGTCCCAGCGCCGGTAACCTACTGCAAGGACCGGATGCATTTCTGCCAAAAGCCGTTGGGTTTCGAGATTTGTTTCTGAGTCTCTGGGATCATAGTCGTTAAGCAAGTCTATCAGGAACCAGAGAGGCTTTGCCTCCAAGTATATAGCTGAGCCAGAGGTGGTTTGTGGGTGTGTCTCCCACATACCCACATACCTAACTTTTAGCCGTTTACCTTCTTGGTGGGCTGGAGCGATAGCACAGTGGGTAGGGCGTTTGCTTTGCAAGCAGCCAACATGGCCAACCCGAGTTTGATTCCTGTGCCCCTCTCGGAGAGCCCAGCAATCTACCGAGAGTATCTCGCCCACACGCCAAAGCCTGGCAAGCTCACCGTGATGTATTTGATATGCCAAACACAGTAACAATTGTCACAATGGAGATGTTACTGGGCCCGCTCGAGCAAATCGATGAACAATGGGAGGACAGTGACAGTGACTTTCTTGGTAAACTTTGCCCCAAATTTTGGGGGTCTGGCCAAAGGCACAGCAGCAATTTTGGGGTATCTGGAAGTCTAAAGGCGCCATCAGGATGCTGATGCACTCACCTCACAGGTACAGATTGACCTGCTGGTGGCACCATACCCCCAAGGGACTGACTCTGAGCTCTTGGGTCCTCAGCGTGCTCTGGTGTGGCGTCCTGAGGAGGACACTCAGCCGGATGGATAGAGGCTCTTTGTGGGCTGAGGGTAGTGGTGCTGGGCCTTCACCGGAGAGGCAGATCTGAACTTTGCAGCTGAGCAGTTGTCTTGAAATTTAAGTTTGATTTGATTTTAAATTCTTTTTGGTTCGGGGTGGGGGGGTGTTGGCCATTCCTGGTGGTACTCCATCTGACTCCTGGCTCTGCACTCAGGAGACAAAGGGGCCAGGAGGGGGGACGGATGGGAGTGACCACTGGTGTGGACAGAGCTCTGGGGGGTGAGATTGCCCTGGAATCATCGAGAAGTGATGGTCCACTGAGCTGAATATTTCAAAGAAGCCACCCCAAATGGTTCCTTCAGAGTGGTGGATTTCACACCAGGTGAATTTTTCTCAGTAGAAAATACGTCAAAGAAATAGTGACACTGGTCTTCCCCGTGACACCCGTCCTCGGCGGCAGCCTGAGCCCAGAGCCCTGGGGAAGGCTTTCACCTTGCCCGTGGCCAAGCTGTGTTTAACCCCCCACATCTGTTTCCCCAAGCCCCACCAGGGGGCCTTCCTGAGCACTGCCCTGACCCCCCTTCTGGGTCGCTGCCCCTTCATTCCCCGCCCATGTTTCAGAGCCTTCTTTGCCACACACTGCTGTGCGGTGACTGTTTGGGGGGCTGCTCCCCAGTGGGTCTCCTTCAGTTTCCAGCCCCTGTCCTGCCTCCATGGGTCCTCTGCCCTCCGGCCATGCCCCATCGCAGCTCCTGGTGGCTGCTGTCTTGGGCAGCATGGTTCTAGAAGTTTCTTCCTTTACGCCTCTCCTCTCCCACTGCCGCCGCTCCACGTGAGGGTGCCAGGGCACGCAGCCCCCTGGTGAGTCTCACCTGGTCATGGGCAGCACGTCCCTGGGACAGAGGGACACACTCTGTCCACCCTGGCCAGCCCAGGCGGGGCAGACGCTTCCCAAAAAGCCTGGCGGGGGGACAAGAGGGACCCCAGGTGGGGTGAGGGACTTGCCATTGCCTGGAGCTCAGGGCTGACTGTGGGTGTCAGGACATTCCCGTTCCCACTCCCCACAGGCCGGATCCCAGCCTGGCTGCAGGGGACGTTGCTTCGTAACGGGCCGGGGATGCACACGGTGGGCGAGAGCCGCTACAACCACTGGTTCGACGGGCTGGCACTTATCCACAGCTTCACCCTCCGGGACGGTGAGCACGCCACGTCGGAGCCCACAGCAGGGCAGGGGTGACGGGTGTGGTTCCGGGGAGGCGGGCAGGTGGGTGGGGGCCATTGGGCTGAGGAGGAGGTATGGGGAGGGTCCCAGGGCGGGCGGCAGGAGCCCACCTGTTGCCCTGCGCCTGGGTTCCCTGGCTCACGGCCCCCCGCCCCCTTCGTCTCCTCTTTCTCCCCGCCTGCTCCTTTTCCGTCTGACGAAGCGAGACATCCGTAACGACCTTGGTAACCCCCTGAGCACCCAAACCTCAATGGCATCTCGCCTAGGGGGGTCCGGGAGAGGGGACAGCGGGAGACGGCGTGTGCTGTGCACGAGAGACCCTAGTCTGGTCCTTGACCACAAGGTCCCCCCCAGCAATCCTGGGAGTGAGTAGGTCTCGAGCCCTGCCACATGTGGCCCAGCACCTACTCTCTCCCCCAAGTAAAGTTTCCTGCGGTTGGAGAGAGTACAGTGGTTAGTGCTTGTCCTGCATGCCACTGACCGCAATTCTAGTCCCAGCACGGCTCACAGTGCCCGAGTGGAGAGCCGGGACCAAGCCCTGAGCACTGCCGGGTGTGACCCCAAACCCCAACCAAACCCCATGGCCCTCAGCTATGGGGCAGCACGGTGCTCACAGATGGGCCCGCACCCAACGCTCCAACACGGCCTCAGTGAAGCCTCAGTGACACGCGCATCCGTAGAATAAGTCAGTGGGGACGTGTGGTTGAGCAGGGCAGGCTGCAGGGGGCACTGCTGTGGCCTTGGCCTCAGCCCCACTCGCCCATGTCCAACGGTGTTTTTCTGGAATAGATCAGGGGCCAGAGCGATAGCACAGTGGATAGGGTGTTTGCCTTGCATGTGGCCAACCCAGGTTCAAATCCCCGGCATCCCTTATGGTCCCCTGAGCACCACCAGCAGTGATTCCTGAGTGCAGAGCCAGGAGTAAACCCCTGAGCATCTCCGGTTGTGACCCAAAAAGAGAAAAAAAAACTAAAATAGAAAGTTCACTCATCCGCCTTGTTTTAAGTAACTAAGGTTGTGGCAATTTGTCACGGCAGCAGGGAGGAATGAGACTCTTCTAGAACCCTGTGGTGTTTGGTCATCTGGGGGCTAACGGACAGGTGGGATCCCTGCTTCTAAGCGGTCAGTAGCTCTGGTCTGCCAAGTCCAGATCAACCCACAGCGCTCCTGGTCCTGAGCCTTCCCTCATTCTGAATTGGCCCGAGGTCGCGCCCCCTAGTGGACATGGAGAGCCGGTGTTACTCCAGAAGGTCCAGTGGTCAGCGGAGGATTCAGGGTGGCACTGGACACTGGGGAACAGCCTGGTGGCAGGGACCGTGCCTGGCCTGGGACAGCACCACTCAGCTGGGTCTGGCGGACGCTGAGAGAGATGGCAGACTGTCTGCAAAGGCCAGCTCCCTCAGCTGTAAAGTGGCACGAGTCAGAGAACTCGGACCACCCATTGTCGAAGCCACTTGTGGCCGCACACACAGTCCGTCGCCTCGGGGCGCGTCACTTGGGTGAGGGGCCTGTCTTAGTGGACTCACCCATTTCTGCCCCCATAGCCTGGCAAGGTGTATGCTTGTGATGCTTCTCTCTCTCTCTCTCTCTCTCTTGCTTTTTGGGTCACACCCGGCGATGCTCAGGGGTTCCTCCTGGCTCTGCACTCAGGAGTTACTCCTGGCGGTGCTCAGGGGACCATATGGGATGCTGGGAATCGAACCCAGGTCGGCAGCGTGCAAAGCAAACGCCCTCCCCGCTGTGCTATCACTCCAGCCCCCAGTGACGCTTCTCTTGCAGGCGAAGTTCATTACAGGAGCAAATACCTGCGAAGCGACACTTACAAGGCCAACATCGAGGCGAACAGAATCGTGGTGTCGGAGTTTGGGACAATGGCCTACCCGGACCCCTGCAAAAACATATTTTCCAAGTAACTGTCTGTTTTACGGGTGTCTTGCCTTTTGCTCTCCTTGTGGGTGGGGCCACCCCAGCTTCACTCTCTGGCGGCTCTCGAGGGTGGGTGGCTCTCTTTGGTGGCGTACAGGGGACGGTTCGAGGCGAGAGCAGCTGGCATCTTAGCTGTTCTCCCCCTTGGCTGGGGGGAGAGCAATGTGGGATTATTTATCGAAATCACAAATGTACCTTCCCTCTAGCCCGCAGATAGACTTAATTGCATCAGGAATGACAAACACGGGAGTTTATTCACGGCCGCGTCATTTATTATGACGAGGAACTGAAAATAGCTGAAGTGTTCATTAGCAGAGTCGCGGTTAGATAAATAACAGTGAAAAAGATACGAGAAAACAGCAGGAAGAAGGGAGAGGAGGGAGGCTGTTCTGTATGTGCTGAATGGCGAGATTTCTGAAGAGATGTTTAGGCGGGGAGGTGGGGGCAGGGTTAGAAGGAGCACGGAAGGTGCTCTGGGTTTCTTTTGTTTAGAAAAAAAAAGAGAGAGAAGTCTGGGTCAATCTTAGCTCCTGCATTTGCATGAAGAGACCCTGAAAGGGGTCTGGAAACTGCCAGATACAGACTGAAAGGAAGACGTCTCAGTTACACACATTTAAAATCTGGGTCATGGACCCCTGGGTTTAAGCCTCAGCCTTCCGGGGGGGGGTTAGAGATAAATCTGGGTTATGATGTGCGGAGTGGATGTATTGCACGCTCGGCCGTCAGACTGGGGGCCAGCGCCCCTTCCTGAGGTCTTTCCCATGAGAGAAGCTGGGCACTGTGTTAGGCGGGTTCAAGGCTGCTGCTGCTGCTGCATTTCCAGAACTGACGTCACCGCTCCAGTTCCAGGACCCCGTGCTCAGCCTGGTGCACCTGCGCCCTCGGGCACTGCACTCGCGTTTGCAGAAGGGAGGGAGGGAGCTAGGGACCCACCTCGCAGCGGCATCCTTGTAGTTGCGCCGTTGTGCCAGGAGGGGGCGCGCGAGTCAACGCAGGAATCCAGGATTCGGCTACTTGGTTGTCTTCGCCTTGCTCCGTGTGTGTGTGTGTGTGTGTGTGTGTGTGTGTGTGTGTTTGGGGGGGGGTGCTGAACTCCCAGGGAGATGGTTTCCTTCAAGAACAAAACACTTTACAGACACTTTACAAAATGCTTTCCTGTCAGAAGCAGGGAGGGGCTATTTTGCTAGTCACTGGGGTCTTCCATGGGTCTTCTTTTTATACAATTAAAAAAACCTTTTTTTTTTTAAAATTTTATATGGTGACTTTTAATTTTATAAATAGTGTATTTTATAATAAGAGTTTGTATTAGTCATATAAATAAGCAGATCACTCAATATTAAGATGATAATATAACATTTCAAATTAGTATTTATAATCTACCCTAGCACTTGTTTACAAATTTATATTTTAAAAGCTGTGATTATAAAGGGCATATTCTCCTAATATTTTTCATTAATATACTCAGCATTTTCCCATACAATAATATACTCACAGTGAACACCAAATATCAAGATTTCAATCCTCTTTCCTATCATAGTAAGTGACCATTAGATTTATTTTATTTTATTTTATTTTTTAACTTTTACAATTTATTTTATTGAACTATTTTTTATTTTTTTCTTTTGTTTTATTAGTGAAACACCATGAGGTACAGTTGTAGACTCACAAGTTGTTGTGCTTGGGTTTCAGTTATACAATGATCGAGTACCCATCCCACCACCAGTGCCCATTCTCCACCCCCACCAATCCCAGTATCCCTCCCACCCACCCCCCGATCCCCCATCCCACCCTGCCTCTGTGGCAGGACACTCCCTTTTGTTCTATCTCTCCTTTTGGGTGCTGTGGTCTGCAGAAAAGACATTGGGTGGCAATCATGTTCGCTCCATAGACTACTTTCAGCAGGCATCTCCCATCCTGGGCAGATAAAAAAAACTTTTTTAAACTTAAATTTTAACATATATGGAGCCATCACTCAGAAAATCTGGTTATTCTACAAGTGTGATCTGTGTAGTTGCCTCTGGTTGCGGTGTACGACCAAATGCTCTCAGCACCAGTATGGGCCCCGCGTACAGTCTCTTAAAGCTCATTGGTACACTCACTTGCCCTTGCTGCTTCTGGTAGGAGCCATTCAGATGTGGGGGAGCCCCCGGGGGGCGGGTGGGGCTGGAAAAGGAGCCTCTGGACCAGCTGGGTCACTCCTTAGCTCACTGAACAAAGGGGCATCTTCTTCCTTCCTTCCTTCCTTCCTTCCTTCCTTCCCTCCCTCCCTCCCTCCTTCCTTCCTTCCTCTCTGCCTGCCTTCCTTCCTTCTTTCCTTCCTTCCTTCCTGTCTTCCTTCCTTCCTTCTGTCCTCCCTCCTTTCCTTCTTTCCTTCCTCCCTCCCTCCCTCCCTCCCTTCCTTCCTTCCTTCCTCTCTGCCTTCCTTCCTTCCTTCATCCTTCCTTCCTTCCTTTGTTTCTTCCTTCCCTCCTTCCTTCCTTCCTCTCTGCCTGTCTTCCTTCCTTCCTTTCTTCCTTTCTTCCTTCCTTCCCTCCCTCCTTCCTTCCTTTCCTTCCTTCCTTCCTTCCTTCCTCTCTGCCTTCCTTCCTTCCTTCCTCTCTGCCTTCCTTCCTTCCTTCCTTCCTTCCTTCCTTCCTTCCATCCTCTCTGCCTTCCTTCCTTCCTTCCTTCCTTCCTTCCTTCTTCCTCTCTCTGGTTTTGGGTCACACCGAGCAATGCTCAGGGGTTTCTCCTGACTCTGCACTTAGGAATCACTCCTGGCAGGGTTCAGGGAACCATGTAGGATGCCGGGGATCGAGCCCAGGTCGGCCGTGTGCGAGGCGAACACCCTACCGGTCGTGCCTCGGCTCTGGCCCCTGTAGAGGCACCTGGGGGCGTCTGCGTGTGTGAGTTCTCAGGCTTCCTCCCGGTCTCCCGAGGCGCCCAGTGCTGCTTCTCCCTTGGCCAGAATCGGGTGTTTTCAGCAACGGAAAGTCGTGCGCCCGCCCCGTTTGCTTCCTGGCCTCTGGCCGCTTCTCTCCTCAGAGCCTTCTCCTACCTGTCCCACACCATCCCCGACTTCACCGACAACTGCCTGATCAACATCATGAGGCGTGGGGGAGACTTCTACGCCACCACGGAGACCAACTACATCAGGAAAATCGACCCTGAGACGCTTGACACGCTGGAGAAGGTACCAGCAGTCCCTCCCCGATCCCGCCCCCTGCTTCGGGGACGTGCCCGGGCAGGGCCGCCCGGCCTGCAGAGGCTCCCGAAGTGCCCAGGGCACGGGTGCTCGTCAGGGCCACACCTCCCCTCCTCACGCTGCCTGTCCACAGAGCCTCGACTCGGTGGTTGCAGATGACCGAAATTTAGGGATCAGGGAGAAGTTAACGGGCCAGAGCGGGTCTTGGACGTGGGCAGCCCAAACTGCAGTCCCTGATGTCGGGAGCAGACCCGGAGTACCACCGGGTATGGGTACTCAAGAACACAACCACAACCACAACACACACACACACACATCATCAACACAATTAATCTGTTCTCTTGTGGTTCTGGCCACGGGCAGCCTGGCAGTCTGGAGTCCAGGCCCCGACCCTGCTCTCTCTAGGGACCCCTGGGGAGGGTCCGCCCGGGGACTCCCACGCATGAGGCCAGTGCTCTGCCGTCCTGGCCCTCCTTATTCCCAGCCTCTCCTGGCTGCTGGCTGCTCCGGGCTCCAACACACACCAGTGCCGTCTCTCCCGAGTACATCTGGGGCCTTTTGTCCATCTGACTTCCTCTTTCTCGGTGGTCCCTACAGAGACCCTGCGCAGGGCCTGGGGCTTTGCCAGTGCACAATGACTTTGCGGAGACATCCGGGGTTCCCAGAAGCCTGTCTCTGCCCTGAAGAGGGAGGCATTAGGCAGGGAGAGAGGCATCAAGAAGGAAAAGCACAACTGACCCCTCTCCTGCTCTCCTGGGCGGAACCGAGGCAGCACTGGGGGGTAAATCCACAGGCCCTCACAGTCCTCGCCGGGCCGGCACCGTCCGCTTGCAGGTCGCTGGCCACCAGCTGCTGCTCAGCCTTTTAGCACGATGGCACACATTTTTTTTTTTCTTTTTGGGTCGCACCTGGCGATGCTCAGGGATTCCTCCTGGCTCTGCACTCAGGAATCGCTCCTGGAGGTGCTCAGGGGACCCTATGGGATGCTGGGAATCGAACCCGGGTCGGCTACATGCAAAGCAAATGCCCTACCCTCTGTGCTATCGCTCCAGCCCCTTGGTGGCAATATTTTAAGCATCTTTGTTCTTGGGAAGTGCTCAGGGTTGACTCCTGCCTCTGTGCTCAGGCATCGCTCCTGGAGGTGCTCGGGGGCCCCTGTAGGGTGCTGGAGACTGGAACAGGGTCAACCACATGTCAGGCCAGCCCCCTAGCTCCTGTCCTACCTCTCTGGCTTCCTTGGAAGGAGCTGCAGTGTGGGGGAGCAGAGGGGTGCTGGGAGAGTGTGAGGTGTGGTCTGCGTGAGCTGACGTTGTGGGGACATACCCTGACGGCTGTTCCCTGGACCGCGTCCACATGGGGCACCGTGGAATTTGCTGGCAGAGACCCCCTTGGTGGAGATGCTTTGGCCGTTTCCCCGATCCTAGAGAATCTTTTGAGAGAGTCGCGGGGTTCCTCCGGCAGGGAAGTCTCTAACTTCCTTATAGGGTCACAGTCAGGACCAGGCCAGCCCTGGAGAGGAGGTCGCACATCTACGCTGAGGACCTCTGGCAGGCCAGCAGGATGGGAGCAACTGCCAGGGACACACAGGCGCTCACGTCCCTTGGCTCAGTTTCTGGAGGCGTCTGAGGTCCTGCCAGGCCAGTAGGAGCCTCCTCTGGAGGGGGCCGTGGCCACGCCTTCTGTCCGGGCAGAGACAAACACGGGCGTCGTCCGACCCTAAGGCCAGGCGTCCACAGGGCTTCCTCGTCCCCTTTGCGTTTTAGTTATTTATTTAGGCTTCGGGGGCCACCGCTGGCCTGGCATGCTCAGGGCTGACTCCTGGCTCTGAGCTCAGGGATCTCCCCTGCTTGGGGGACCCCAGAGGGGCTGAAGAAGGAGCCGGGGTTGGCCTCATGCATGGCAAGTGCCCTCCCCGCTGTGCTCTGCTGAGGTTCCTGTGCCCTGTCCCTCTCTGAACCCGGTGACTGTCATCTTCTGCAGGTTGACTATCGGAACTATGTGGCTGTCAATCTGGCGACATCGCATCCACATTACGACGAGGCGGGGAATGTCCTGAACATGGGCACCTCCATCGTGGACAAGGGGAAGACAAAATACGTGTTATTTAAGATCCCAGCCACCGTGCCAGGTAGGTCGCGCCGGGCCGTGCAGCGGAGCACCAGACCAAACCAGAAGGCGTCTGGCTCTGCCGATGACACAGGTCTTGGCTGACACATCCCCCTCGGTGACTCAGATCGCCATGAGCTCACGATTCTCGCTTGGGAGAAAGAGGACTCCCCAGGCTCCCTTCTGGAGCCCATGAGTCGCTTTGTTACTCTGATCACTTTCTCTTTAGGTTCCAATTCATTAAAAAACTCATTAATTTATCCACACTCCATCCATCTCTTCACCAGCCAGCCGGTCAGCCATCAAACCACCTCTCAGCCGTCATCCATCCACCCACTTATCTGTCCATCTGTCCATCCGTCCAACATCCAGTCAGCAACTCATCCACCCCCCATCTATTCATTGACCCCTTAGTTTATCCATTCATTAATCGATCACTTACCCCTCGAGCCACTCATTGATTCATTGACCCAATAATCCATCCATCTGTTATTAGTCTGACCCAATAATCCATCCATCTGTTATTAGTCTATCACTCATTCCTTCACCCATCATCTGTCCTTCCATCGTCCATGTATTATTCACCTACCCACTCATCCATCTATAACGCATGCATCCGTTCATTAATCTATTACATTCTTGCATCCGCTCATTGATCCACTCATCCATCTATCCATCATCCATCCATCCACCATCCACCTAGCCAGCTATCCACCATTCACCATCCACCCACCATATACCCCTGCATCAGTGATTCATCCATTCATCCATCCATCCATCCATCCATCCACGACTCATCCATTCACCATCCATCCATCCACCCATTCACCACCCATTATCCACCATCCATCCATCCACCATCCATTATCCACCATCCATCCATCCATCCATCCATCCACCACCCCTATATCCACCATCCGTCCATCCACCATCCATCCATCCATCCATCCACATCCCCTCCATATATCCACCTCCCCTCCATCCACCACCTTTCATCCATCCACCATCCATCCATCCATCCACCTCCCCTCCATCCACCACCTTCCATCCATCAACCATCCATCTATCCATCCATCATTCCGTCCACCACCTGTCCACCCATTTTTCCCAGTTGTCTAACAAGCCTTTGTATGCCAGGTTGCACTGTCCCCTTCTGTGCCAGCAGCCCCTTAGCTGGCTTGTTCTGGAGCGTAGCCCTGCCGGGACCCCCTTCAACTCCCCATCGTGCCCCCTGGGCCTTCTGGACCCTTCCCATGTGGGACAGGGTCTTAGACGGAGGCCCAGGCTGACTGTGAGTGCACATCCCGGGGGAGGGGCGGGGCTCCGGGCCCTTCTTTTCCAGGACTGAGTGCTGCACCTCAAGACCCTACGTCCAGGGCTGACTCCACAGGGCTCAGGCAAAACTCGGGGGTGCCAGCCGGGGTTCCTCCTTCTGCTGGTTCTCTTCTGCTGCTCTGGCCCTTTTTAACAGACGCTAGAACCTTCTGGGCAAATTAGCAGGCTCTGCCAGCAGATCTGAGCCTGAGGTCAGAAGGAGCAGCAAGTGCTCTTGGGAGATGGGGCTTGCCTTGGTGGAGGGAATAAAAGGGTCAGAACTGGCCGGAGCTTGACAGAGGGTGGTCCAAGCCAGTGCCTGACTCCATTCTTTGCGGGTCACGGTCCCCTTCCAACCACATTTTATGCCTGTGTCTCCCTGACACCCACTTAGAGCCTTACTGGTTGCTGTCTTGGAATATCCCGGGGCCCACAGGTGAAGAACCGCTGGTGTTGGGGTTTGAGTTTGTCACCACACATTACACAGGAAGCCCGGGTTCTGGGGCACCTGCTGTCATGTCCGGTCAGAGCACTGGGCAGCCCTTATCAGCATCTGCCCCCCGCAGCCGCTCCTCGAGTTCCCAGGGTGTGTTTCCGTGCAGTCCCTTTGTGCCCATTTGTGTGACACCACCCACCTCCGCCCCCCACCGCCGCCCAGCCTCCCGTCAGCTGTTTACAGCCACACAGGTGGCCACAAGAAAGGCGGGGACGCTCCCAGGAACTCATTATAAACCAGCCCCAGGTCTGGGCAGGGAGGCCCGCGGCCGTGCGTGACTCACCCTCGCAGGGAAGGAGAAACCCCACGTGTGTGCAGCCTCCTTGGTATGTGGGTCTGGGCGAGGCCGTGGACGCCTCCGTGCCCTGCTCTCTCCCTCCCTGCCCGTGGCCAGCGCTCAGCCCCCAGCAGGGTTGGTCTCGGCTTAGCCTGACAACTCTGCTTCGAGTGATGAACCGTGATACGGAGCGAGCACTGCGTAGCACCACTCACTGAGTGCCCCGGGCCAGCATGGAGAACGGGCCAGCCAGGAGGGCTCCTGGGGGGACCCTGCCCACCCCTGACGCCAGCAGTGGTCCGTCCAGCACACATCTTTCGAACTGCCCCTGTGCCCTCTGTCCCCGGGACCCTGCCCCGCCCCTCCTTGCCAGGCCCCGTGTGCATCCCCATTTGAGAAGCGTCACTTCTGGGGGGGGGGCTGCCCGCCCTGCTGTCCATGGCTGAGGGTGCGCAAGTGACCCGTGGGGAGTGGACAGCAAGGGGGGTGAGGACCTGCCTGGCCGAGGGAGGGGTCCAGACCCGCCCCCCCAACCATGTGGGGGTGTGGAGGGCAGACCACTGACCGCTGACCACTGACCGCTGACCACTGACCGCTGCCCGTGCTTTCCTGCAGAGCCCCGGCGGGGGACGGACCCCTGGAAGCACACGGCCGTGCTCTGCTCCGTCGCCGCCCGCTCTCTGCTGGCCCCCAGCTACTACCACAGCTTCGGGCTCACCCCGAACTACGTGGTGTTCCTGGAACAGCCCTTCAAGCTGGACATCCTCAGGCTGGCCACGGCGTACGCCAGGGGCGTGAACTGGGCCTCGTGCCTGACCTTCCACCCGGAGGACAAGGTACAGCCTCGCCTCAGAGGCAGGGCGGCCGCCTGCAGGGGGTCCGGGAAGGGGGCGGGGCTGCAGCCCAGCCTTCTAGAGGGCTCCGAGGGGGCAGCAGTGGTGTCCTTGGTGTGTAGACGTGTGCGGGTATGTGCATGTGTGTGCTATGTACGCACACGGGTACGTCTGTGTGTGCATGCGTGTGACAGACGTGTGAGTTTGCGCATGCGCCCGTCACCGTGTCTGTTCCCTGGTGTCACTTTGCGTGTGAGAAGGACCAGTGAGACCCCCTGCAGTAGAATCTGGCCACACACTGCTCCGGGGCGACCATTGTCCCCTCGTCCTGGGGCCGCCCTGTGACACCTGTCCCCTTCCCGCAGAGGGCTGTGGTGAGTCACCCGCTGCCCAGAGCCTTCCTCCTGGCAGTGTGACCCTTGTCGCCGCTGCCCCCTGCCCCCATTCCCCTCCCCCGTCCTCCCCTCTGCCCCCTACTGCCCCCCCACCCTGCCCCTGCTACCTCTTGTCTCCCCTTGAGCCTTTAAATCCGCTGAACGCGTTCCCGCCTGGCCTGGCCTCGGCCCCCCAGAGCCTGGCTGGCCGCTCCCGGCCGCCCGGTCACTCAGCCGCTGACCCCTCGGCCTGTGAGTGCAGGTCCCCGGGGAGGGTCCCCTGTGTCCTCAGCCCTCTTCTGTGTGGCCCGGACGGGGGAACCCACTGTGAGGCAGAGCCCGAGGTCGTGGTGACCCCTGCACCATGCCCATGGTGGGGAAGGAGGGCCCTGCAGCCCTAGCCATCTGTCCTGGCCGTCTGTCCCCCTCTCAGCTCTCACGGGGCATTAGTGACCCACCCCAGGACAGTCTGGAGCGTGTCCCCAGCCCTTTAGAAGAGGGTGGTTAGGTCACAGCTGCCTGGAGCAGGAAGACACACACCGGGCTCACATATGCACATCATGCACCCACACATACATGTACATGCCAGCCACACACGCCCCCACATGCTTATACACTCACATACATGTACTCACAAACACACCATAATCGCATATATATCCCTCTCACACACACACACACACACACTCACACCTACCCACATACCACTCACACATACGCACCCGCCCTCATACACCCATTTACACCCACGCCTCCACCTTCACACGTATACTCACACACACCCCCACTCACGCCTGCCTCACACACACACCCACACACTCACACTCACACACCCCACACTCACCCGCCCCCTCACACCTATACTCACCCCCCACTCATGCGTCCACTCACACACACTTGCGGTGCGCCCCTCGCCGCCCGCTCGAGCCTGTCCGTGCTCTCCCTCCAGACCCACATCCACGTCATCGACCGGAGGACGGGCCAGCCGCTGCCCGGGCGCTTCTACGCGGACGCCATGGTGGTGTACCACCACGTGAACGCCTTCGAGCAGGACGGCTGCCTCGTGTTCGACGTCATCGCCTACGCCGACAGCAGCCTCTACGAGCTCTTCTACCTGGCCAACCTCGACCAGCACCTGGCGGAGAACGCCAAGCTCACGGCCGTGCCCACCCTCAAGAGGTTCGCCCTGCCCCTCCGCCCGGACCAGGTAGCCGGACCCCGGGGCAGGCAGGGTGAGCTGCTCTTTACAGGGGGGCTGCTCCCGGTGGGACCCCGTCCTGGGAGCCGGGGTCACGTGTAGCTGGGGTCAGGCTGCCGGCCTCACCCCTGCCCTCACCCTGCCGTCTCCCCTGCCCTCACCCCTGCCCTCCCTTGCCCTCTCCTGCCTTCACCCCTGCCCTCTCCCCTGCCTTCACCCCTGCCCTCTCCCCTGCCTTCACCCCTGCCCTCTCCCCTGCCTTCACCCCTGCCCTCTCCCCTGCCTTCACCCCTGCCCTCACCCCTGCCGGGCACAGGCTCTCGCTGGAGGGGAGACGCGTCTGTTGTTTCCTAGAGCGGGCGGACGTGCGCAGGGACTTTAGAAAGCCCAGGCTGAGTCGGCGGGGCAGAGCCACCAGCCACGGGCTCGCTCCGTCTCCGGGATGCAGGCGTGTGTTCCAGGCACACCCACATACATGCACACGCGTGTGAGGATGTGAGCGGTGCTCGTAGCTCTCCTTTTCAGTCATCCAGGAGCTGGTGGCCGGCATGCCCGGGGCAGCTTGCGCACAGTGAACCTCTTTCTCCCGCATAAGAGAATCGCTCGGCATGTCCTGTTCTGATGCTTTAGGATGTCCGTGTCCCAGTGTGGCTTCGCAGTCTCCCTCTCTCGTCCCCTCCCTTCCCGGTGGCTGTGGTTGTCCAGGCGGCTCTGGCCGAGGTCTCGCCCTTACCCCGTGGTGGCACCGTCCATTCCCTGCTCAGTGCTGGCAGGGACGTGCATGAGGTCTCGGTCCCGCTGGGATTGTCGGAGCTTGGGCTGGGGGTCCAGGGTTCACGTGTGTCCTGATTGTTGCTGCGCTCTCTTGGGTGGGGGGCAGTGCCCTTTGCTGGGTGCTCACACCAGGGTGGGCTGTGGGACTTGGCACACGTGGGGCCCCAGGGACTTGCTCTGGTGATGTGTGCTCTGAGTCCTGTGCTCTGCCGGCCCAGCACCTTGCTTGGTGGGTGGGGACACAGCCAGTGGGGCTTGGGGGTCACTACAGTGGCCCCATATGGATTGGAAGGGTCGGTCACATACAAGGCAGCACCCTCACCACTGTACTATCACTCCAACTCTTCATTTTCTGTGGGGAGGAGTCACCCTCGGTGGTCCCCAGGGCTGACTCCTGGCTCAGTGCTCAGGGATCACTCCTGGTGAGCTCAGGGGACCCTATGGGGGTCCGGAGATCGAGCCCGGGTCAGCTGAGTGCAAAGCCAATGCCCGCCCCACTGTGCCCATCTTTCTGCCTGGTGCCACCCATTTGGGCATGGAAGGTGCCTTTTGGCCCCCTGGCCGCCTCGGCTGGGCTCATGCAGGCAGCCGCAGGGCCCTGGCTCCAGCTCTCTGACTTCATGGCTTAATTAGCCTCGATGAAACCAAATTTAGCTCAATTACATTCTGATGGCCCCTCTTTGCTAAGCGCTCTCTGTGTTCCAGGTCCTTGGCTAAGCGTTTTGTCTTCCTTACCTCACTTAATGACCCACCCCGCCTGCGGGGCGGGGCCTTGTGCCCCCTGTGGCAGATAAGAAAAGCCAGGGTCAGCGAGGTGAGGGGGTGTGTCTGGGGCACCCCCAGTGGGCTCCAGCCCTGCCTCTGGAAACAGAATTTGCCCCCTCTCCACGGCAGGACCCCGCCCTGGGAGCCCCCGCCAGACCCCACCCACCCCCCCGGAGTCCCCCCAGACCCACTGCTGCTCCCCAGTTGAAACTCAGCTTCGCGCCCTGCTGAAGGGGCAGCATCTGAACCCCGAGCCTGACCCCAGCCCTGGCCCTCTCTCCTGCAGCGTTCATTCCTGTCATCTCCTGCTGACACGAGTGTTTCCTTTCCTTTGATTCACGGGTTTTTTTTTGTGGGGGGTTGGGGATTTTTGATTCACTCCTGGAAATGCTCAGAGCTTACTCTTTTTTTTTTTTAATTTTTATTAGTGAGATACCATGAGGTACAGTTGCAGACTTACAAATTTTTGTGCTTGGGTTTCAGTTATACAATGATCGAGTACCCATCCCTCCACCAGCGCCCATCCTCCACCACCGCGGGTCCCAGCATCCCTCCCACCCCCCATCCCCCCCATCCCCCCCTGCCTCTCTGGCAGGGCATTCCCTTTTCTTCCCTCTCTCCTATTGGGCGTCGTGGTCAGAGCTTACTCTTGACTGCACCTGGCGGTGCTCGAGGAGCCATACGGGATGCCTGGGATCGAACCCCGGGCGGCCGTGGGCAAGGCCAACGCCCTCCCCGCTGTACTGTTGCTCCTGCCACTTAGATTCTCTCTACATCCCTCTTCTCGGCTGGTTGGTTTTGGACCACACCTAGCAGTGCTCAGGCGCTGCTGCCAGGCAGCTCAGTGCCCAAGGAGCCGCGTGGTATCTGGGCTGGAACTGTGTCCCACATGCAGAGCCTGGGCCCCGCCCACCTCCGGCCCTCCACACCTCTGGGAAGGGGGCAGACCCTGCCTAGGGAGAGAGAGAGACAGAGACAGAGAGACAGAGAGAGAGAGAGACAGAGAGAGAGAGAGACAGAGACAGAGAGACAGAGAGAGAGAGAGACAGAGACAGAGAGACAGAGAGAGAGAGAGAGAGATGCTGCCCAGAGAGACACGCGGGCACCATGGAAATTGAGCCCGGCCAGTCAGATTTTCTAGCCAAGGCCCAATACCTTGTTGACACTTTGTTGTTGTTGCTGTTGTTGTTGTTGTTGGGAAGGTGGTGAAGATACTGGGTCCGACAGACAAAGGGTCTCCCGGGCTGTCTTCCCAGCTGCAGTGAACAGCACAGGGAGGAAAAGGCGTGTCCTAGAGAGAAGCCAGCCACAGGGTCGAGCCTCCCATCCCCGTCCCCCGCTGACCCAGTGACCCAGCGCAGCCCCTGAGAGTCACACCTGCTGGGTGGGACCCACAGCGCCCCCAGCCTAGAGAGTTGAAGAGAATAAAGTGGGTCCCTCCGTAGCCCGGACCCTCGGGGCTGGCTGCATCTCCCAAGGCCCCCAGAGCCCCCCCCCCCCCCCCAGGCTCCCCTGACTCCAGCCTCTGCAGATTTTCTGCGTTGCGGTGGGTCCCAGGGCGTGATGGCAGTGTGACATGGTGGCTCGCAGTGGCAGGACACTGGCGCGGAGAGGAAGCGCTCCCGCCCACGGCCACACACCCACCGCGGGGCTGCGCGGCCTTTTATCCTTGCCGCCTCGGACCCGCGCTCAGAAGCTGAACGTGCCTTTTGAAGGGCTGCGGCAGAGCCAGGCTGGCTTTGAAACTCGCCGAGAGGAGCCAGGCTGGGAAGGAGGGGTGCGGCCACGCTTCCTAAATGCCGTTTTTTGTCCCTTCAAACCCTCACCCGCCTTCACTTTCCAGCCACCCGCCCTGCGTCCAGCACGGGGAGGTGAGCGGGCAGGCCCGGGGCTGAGGGGCTCCTCCATCTGGAGGGTGCGGCTCTCCCCCTCCCACGGGCCCAGCAGGAGGGGCTTCCTGCTCTTCCTGCTCAGGAGGCAGCTCTGGTCCCCACTGTCCCAGGCTCCATCCCCGCGAGACACAGTGCTCCTGGCCTCATGAGGTCTGATGACCCCACACAGCCTCTCTCCCTGGTCCTTGGTGGGGGGGCCAGGGGCAGCAGGACCCAGACATGTTGCGCCGTGCCCCCTGCACCCGTCAGAATGGTCCTCGCTAAAATCTTGGGGGTTTCCGTCGAACGGGGAGAAGTCGGAGCTTGTAAAGTGCACGAGGTCTTTCTGGGGTGCACAGAGGGGTTTGGGCCATGCTTGGCCGTGCTGAGGGCTGACTCCCAACTCTGTGCTCAGGCATCACTTTTTTTGGGGGGGAGTCACACCTGGTGATGCTCAGGGATTACTTTTACTCCTGGCTCTGCACTCTGGAATTACTGCTGGCAGTTCTCGGGGGACCATATGGGTTGCTGGAAATCGAACCCGGGTCGGCCGTGTATGAGACAAATAGCACTGTAGCACTGTCCTCCCGTTGTTCATGGATTTGCTTGAGCGGGCCCAGTAATGTCTCCATTGTGAGACTTGTTGTTACTGTGTCTGGCATATTGAATTTATCACAAGTAGCTTGCCAGGCTTTGCCGTGCGGGCGAGATACTCTCGGTAGCTTGCTGGGCTCTCCAAGAAGGGTGGAGGAATCAAACTCGGGTCGGCCGTGTCGGCCATGTGCAAGGGAAACGCCCTCCCCGCTGTGCTATCGCTCCGGCCCTCAGGGATCACTCTTGGCAGGGCTCAGGGAACCACAAGGAATTGAACCGGGGTCGGCCATGTGTGAGTCCAGTGCCCTCCCTGCTGTCTGACCGCCCTGGCCCCAGACGGTCTGCATTGAGAGCTGGAACATTTCTATGGAGCCTGGGAGACATTGCAGGTGGCCCCAGGCTGGACCCTCCAACTGCCCCCGTGGGCTGGCACCAGGGCTGCTGGCACCCAGGCCTGTCTGTGAGAAGGGACCAGCAGGGCAGCAGCGGCCCGGGGTGCGGGCAGAGGGGGGCTGCCCGCCCCCTCCCCTTGTGCCTCCGGGTGGGGTCACAAGGCACCTTGCTGGGGGCAGGAGGGGCCCCGGGAGAGGCCCCTGGGACGGAGAAGAGGCGCTTGGCTGCTTCGGTCTGGTCTCGCCTCCACAGGAACCTTCTGGCACTCACCCCTGCTGGGCGCGGCGTGAAGTGGCCTTTCCTGCTTGGCGGCCCCAGCCGGGCCCCTGCCCTGGGCACTTTGAAGGGCCCGCGCGGTGGCGTCCAGCAGCGTTCCTTGCCCACAGCATGGGGAGTTCCCAAGCCAGGGGCTCGCCCCAAAGGGCGCCTGTCCCACCTCCCCTATAAACCCTGGGGTCCCCTGTGTTCCCTGCTGCGACCGCCCGGCGCCTGCTCCCGGGTCTGCCTCTGGCTTCCTCGAGGCTGGCTGGCCTGGGTGTGACCGTCCCGGGCCCTCAAAGTGGCGGGGCCCCTAGGCGGGGGGCAGAGGGGTCACAGAGATGGGGGACATTCCTCTCGCCCAGGGCCAGCACAGACTCACGGAGCTGCTGCCCGGGGCTGGTCTCTGTGGTCCCCCTGCTGTGGCCATGTGACTTGGAAGAGCCACGGGGACCCAGAGGGGCCACCTTGGGCAGGGCCACAGCTGTGAGGCTCTAGGGGCCAGGAAGGTAGAGGACGATTTGCTGAGAACGTTTAGATTGGGGCTGGGGCCTCGCTCTCGCTCATCCTGGGGCCTGTGGGTCTGAGGGGCTGTGAGACGCTTCACGTGCTGCTCACACACACCCTCTCTGAGGTGGGGGGTGGTTTTTCAGGTTTTGGACCCCATCTGGTCATGCTCAGGGGATACACCTGCGCCAAGGAATTAGTCCTGGCGGTGTTTCAGGGAATATATGGGATGCTGGGGACCAAACCTGGGGCAGGTGCATGCAAGACCAGTGCCCTACCCACTGTGCTATCTCTCTGGCCCCCACCCTCTGACTTCCTTCCCTCCTTTCTCCCGTTCCTCCCTCCCTCCCTTCCTTCCTTCCACCTTCCCTCCCTCCCTCCCTCTCTCCCTCCCTCCCTCCCTTCTTTCCTTCCTTCCTTCCTTCATTTCTTCCTTTCTTTCTTCCTCCCTCCCTCTCTCCCTCCCTTCCTTCCTTCCTTCCTTCCACCTTCCTTCCTTCCCTCCCTCCTTCCCTCCCTCCCTCCCTCTCTCCCTCCCTCCCTTCTTTCTTTCCTTCCTTCCTTCCTTCCTTCCTTCCTTCCTTCCTTCCCGTTTTTGGGTCACATCTGGACACGCTCAGAGCTGACTCCTGACTCTGCATTAGGGGATCACTCCTGGAGAGGCTCAGGGGAATCGAACCCGAGCCAGCCGCGTGCAAGGCAGACACCCTCTCCTCTGTGAGAGGGGCTATCTCTCTGGCCCCTCAGTTCTTCCATCTCCCCATGATGGATGAGGGAGAGATTGGCTGCCAACGGTGCAGAACCATCTGTGGGATCTGAGCTGGGACAGGCAGCGCCTCTGGCCAGCTCTGTTGTCCAGTGGGCCTGGCCCTGCACCAGGAGTTTCGACACTGACGGTTGATGCAGCCCCCGAATGACCCTCAGGTCCGGGTCAAAGCAAATTCACCTCTGCCCCCTACACCCGGGGCAGAAACCCACCCATTCGACAAACCAGAAGCAAACTCAGGTGCATCAAGGACCTGCATTTGGTTCACTCGGCGAGCCGGAGGTCACACCTGACTCCGAGCCCGTGCCGGGGCAGCGGCCGGGGGTGGCCGCTTCTTGGTTTGGGAACTGCAGGCCGGCCTGAGGGAGGCCTGAGCAGCGCTTTCTCCCCCAGGCCGAGCGTGTTGGCCCAGGGAAGCAGCTGAGTCATGTTCTCTGACTGCTGCTGCGTGTGGAAAAATTCACGGCTTATCCCTCAACCAGTCCGACCAGTTTCCAGGCTCTGCAGATGAGCTACCTGAGAACCAAGCCCAGGACGTGCAGGGAAGGCCTGTCCCGTCCCCGTGCCTCCAGCATTCCCGTCCTGCCGGCCACCGCCCGCCGCCTAGCACCATGACCCCGCAGACCACCGCTTTGGCCCCTGGATGGTCGGAGGGAAAGATTGTCGAGCGGTGTGTTCAAGCGTTCGTCGTGCAAGTCTGTCCGGGCCGCTGACTCAGCGCCGTGCCCTAGCCAAGCTCTGGGCCTGGTCATGAGAAGGAGAAATAAGATGACGGGGAGGAGGCGGCTCCAGTAGGGAAAGGATTCCAAGTCCGGATGGGCCTGGCAGCCGCTGCAGACTGAGCTACTCATGAAGGGGCTGATGCCGCAGTCCTGCGGGGTGGAAGGTGCTAGCCTCAGGGCCTTTGCACCTGCCTTCGCCTTGGCTGCCAGTCTCTGGTGTCTGAGCAGAGCTGTGGAGCCAAGGGCTGGCCCAGGGGCTGTTTCTCTGTGCAGCACTGTCTCTGGGCCTTGCAGAAGGCCTCTTCTGTACACAGAGGGCTGCAGTAGGGTCCCCGCAGCTGGATTTAGTAAATTCCCACCCTCACCCCTTCCCGACCAGGAGCTCCTGCCGTTCAGCAGGAAGGGCCACAGGAAAACGGGCAAAGGAGCGTTTCTAGGGGGGACTGGGCAGGTTGGCATTCCCCAGGGGCTCGGGGAAGGCTGGGCCTCGAGGTCTCCTGGGAGTTCCGTCCCGAACCTGAACTGACCCCCGTGGGAGTGATCAACACCGTCACCGCAGTGGTGCCAAGGGCATTCTGCCGGCACTTGCTGCTGCCCGCGCCCGTGGACAGGACTGGTGTGTGGCACATTCTGCGTCCACGCACCGTCAATCCGGCCTACAGCCTCCGCTCTTCCTCCTCCCACCAATGAGCGACCGAACCACAGAGACTGGAGAGGCCTGGAGTGGGACAGTTGCTCGCTGGCCTTTAGGCGGGGGACTCCCGAACCCCCTCTCTGGGTCACGCGGGCCACGGTGAGGCCCTGCACAGGGCCAGGCGGCCGGGGGAGAGAGAGTCCCACCATCCCAAGTCATTTCCTTCCCAGTGTTTTCTTTCCAATCGGGATGTGTTTTCATTAGAAAAACCTGCTGACCCTGGAGGAAGGCGTGAGCGTCCATTAGGCGGCTGGCCCGCCCAGGCCCTCGCTGATGGGAATCGCTCCTCACAGGGCCGCGCACGCCGGCGTGTGCAATTTCCTGGGCTGCCCTTGGCCCTGAGTGCTGGGTGGTGAGCACGGCCGTGTCATTACGGACTCTTCACGAGCATCCTTCGAAGGAGGGGTGCCGCCCCGCGCAGGGGCACCAGCCAGTGTCTGCAGGGGGGAAGGTGTTCACCAGCACACTCACCTCGCCTGGAGGGAGGCGGAGGAGTCATGGAGCAGAGGAAGGCCAGAGAGATGCCTACGGCGAAGGCGCCCACCCTCCCTGCGGCCAGTACATGCCAGCCCCCGCACCGGGCATGGTCCCCAAGCACCGCTGGATGGAACCCCACCAGTCCCCCTCCGACAAAACCCCAGACGCAGGGTTTAGGGCCCATCGTGATACATTTGTGCTACGTTCCCCTAGCTATGCTCTCTCAGACCGTGCTCTTTGTACTGAATTAAGCGTCACGTATTTCCCCTCTTCCTTTTCTTTTATTTCTTTTATTTACTTATTGGGGCTGGAGCGATAGCACAGCGGTAGGGCGTTTGCCTTGCACGCAGCCAACATGGCCGACCCGAGTTCGATTCCTCCGCCCCTCTCGGAGAGCCCGGCAAGCTACTGAGAGTATCTCGCCCGCACGGCAGAGCCTGGCAAGCTCCCCGTGACGTATTCGATATGCCAGACACAGTAACAAGTCTCACGATAGAGACGTTACTGGACCCGCTCGAGAAAATCGATGAACAACGGGAGGACTGTGACTGATTTATTTACTGGGTCACACCCAGTGATGCACAGGGTTTACTCCTGGTTCATGCACTCAGGAATTAACTCCTGGCCATGCTCGGGGGACCATATGGGATGCTGGGAATCGAACTTGGATCAGGCCGCGTGCAAGGCAAATGCCCTCCCCGCTGTGCTATCACTCCAGCCCCTCCCCTCTTTCTTTTAAATTAATCATGTGGCATCCACTGTTAAATTGTTCATGGTTGGGTTTCAGTCATACAATGTTCCAACACCCATCCCTCCACCGTGCACATTTCCCAGCACCAATGTCCTCAGTTTCCCTCCTACTGACCCGCAGCCTGCCTCTGTGGCAGTTTCCCTCTTCTCTCTCTTTTCTCTTCTCCCTTCTTTCCTCTCTCTCTCTCTCTCTCCTATTTTTTTTTTACTTTCTGGGTCACACCTGGCGATGCACAGAGGTTCCTCCTGGCTCTTCACTCAGGAATTACTCCTGGCGGTGCTCGGGGAACCATATGGGATGCTGGGAATTGAACCCGGGTTGGCCGCGTGCAAGGCAAACGCCCTACCGCTGTGCTATCACTCCAGCCCCTGTCTCTCTCCTTTTATATCCTCACCTTTAGCTGCGAAGAACACCAATAAGAGAGGGCGGTTTCCCGGGGCTCCTGGGAGGCAGGGACAGCTGACAGGTGCCCAGCCCTTTGGGGAAGGGTCTCAGGGAGACACAGGTGGACCCCGATGATGCATTTTTCTTTATTTTCTTCTGAACCGACCCAGAGTGCAGCCGTGGGCTCCAACCTAGTCACTCTGTCGTCCACCACCGTGAAGGCGCTAAAGGAGAAAGGCAGCCGCGTCTACTGCCAGCCAGAGGCGCTGTGTGAAGGTACAAGGGCCCAGGCCGGGCAGGCGGGGAAGCCAACATGACAGTCCCTATCAGACGCTCACAAGGCCGCACGCGCAGGCGTCTCTCCCGGGGACACAGAGGAAGGCTCTCAGGAGGTCGCCACCAAGAGCTCTGGGGACGTTCGTCTTCCCTGCTCTCCTTCCCTTTGCTGTGGTCGCCATACCTGGGGCTCGTGGCGCTGCTCACGCACTGGGCTGAGAGCCGCTCAGGGGGGTTTCTCCACGCAGTGCCGGGCATAGCGCACACGTGTCCGCGGCCATGAGCTTCTCTCCTGCCCTAAGGGGCACTTTGGCCACTGACAGATGTGCTGGCACTGGGGAGAAAGGACAGTGGGTGGGACACTCATCTCACACACAACCGACCCCAGTTCCTTCCCTTGCACCAACTATGGTCCCTTGAGTCATTCCCTAGTTCAGAGCCAGGAGTAAGCCCCGAGCACCGCTAAGTGTGACTTTGCAGAATCCCGGGGGGTGGATCACATGTGGCTCAACCAAGTGCCAGAGTTGACTGTTTGCAGGGGGAGACGGCCGAGGGGGACCCCGAGGGTCTTGCACTCCTGAGAGGGGTCATGTTTTCTGATGTCGAGTACCCAGGTGGTCACTCTGCAGAATCACCAGGAACCGTCTGAAAATCTGCCAGTGACTCCCTGGTGCCCCTCTGTTCTGAGTGGCGTCCCCTCCCCGCCCACCAGCCTGGTACCCACGGGAGCTGCAGACTCCTGGCTCTCCTCCTCCCTCCAGGCGATATATATTTCCTCCAGCCTCTGAGCCCAGCTACCTGGGTTGTTTCAGGAGGGGACACTTCTGCTTCATAGCCGGACACTCAATCGGACATAACAGGCTTATGTCCGCACATATGCACTTACTTGGGCAAAACTGTAGGAAATTTAGGATTATGTAATTAGAACAGGGACCTCCCATTAAAACAGAGTGTACCATAAAACGTAAACTATGAGTTTTAATCCTTTTCACTTGTAACACCGTCGAGATAACTCTGGAACCAACATTTTACCAACTTAATCTTCAGATCTGGACGTTCTCCCCGGGTTACGGGCCGGGTTCAGGAAACTTGCTAATTTTCACATCCCGTTACCATGGGAACTGGCCGGGTTTCCTTCTCTGTTCCCCACTGCCACTCCTTTCCGTTGCTTCAGAACTTTCTTCTTCCACCCACACACCTGTAAGCTGCACACAGGTGTCCTTTGTAGAAAAGCTTTTTTAAAAAAAACTGCACTATCCTCTGATTTTAATCATGCCATTCGCTTTGATTTCTATCTCAGGCAATTAAAAATGTTTGTGCACTTAAAAACCGAGATCTCTCTTCTTGGCTCCTGAGCCTTGTAATAGAGCCGGGGTGATTGCCAGAGGCCCCTCCCTCCCTCCTGACCTAACCCCCTTGGGTCCACTCCAAGGCCGGGGCCAGTGCGGGGTTCCCGAGTTGAGGCTGGTGTCATGGAACAGGGCGGGGGGGGACCCACTGAACCTGGCATTGGTGGGGGGGTAGCCGGCGCCAGGGGCTTCCTCAGTAGCACCTTTCCTCCCTCTAGGCTTGGAGCTGCCGCAGATCAATTATGCTCACAATGGGAAGCCCTATCGATATGTCTATGCCGCCAAGGTCCAGTGGACCCCCGTCCCACACCAGGTATGGACAGTCCCTGCGTGGCTGGGCTGCCTCTGTCCACAGCCGGTCCCCTTCTAAGCCCTGCACATGCTCTCCTCCTCCGTGGCTTCAATTTTTTTTCTCAGAGAAGAAAAGGGAGTGATTCCCTTTTTCTTGCAAACGATGCACAAATGTACCAGGCCATAAAATCAAGGTTCCCACACGGGCCCACGCCCCAAGTGACGCCCTGCTAATCCCACGCCCTGAAGGGAAACGGGCCTGTAGAGATTAGGAGCGGTCTGGGGACGTTGGAAGCAGCGAAGGAATCATGGAAAACCTTAGGCTTCTGCAGGGTTTATCCTACACAGACAAAAGTGTCATCTGGTCCCTGCAGCTGGGTGGGGCTTTCCCTGTGGGAGTCAGGGGTGGCAGGAGGCCTGGTGTATCTTTTTTTTTTTCTTTAATTTTTATTAGTGAGACATCATGAAGTACAGTTGTAGACTTACATATTTTGTGCTTGGGTTTCAATTATACAATGATCAAACACCCATCCCTCCACCAGTGCCCATTTCCCGTGTGGCTGGCCTCCAAGCCATGGAGCAAATTTCCTGGTACTATGTAGCGGTTAGAAAAGATGAAGTCATGAAATTTACATACAAGTGGTATCAGTGGTAAATTTCCCATGTACTACATGGAAAGTATCATGTTAAGCGAAATGAGTCAGAAAGAGAGGGATAGACATAGAAAGATTGCCTTCATCTGGGGAACATAAAGTAACAAAATAGGAGACTAACACCCAAGAATGGCCTGGTGTATCTTTGATGCTGTGATTTCTTGTGGCAGGGGGCCATACCCTGGGGAGAGGGGGGCTCTCCCAACTTGGTGTTCCCAGTCTCTCCTGGTAGTACTTAGGTACCTGCCAGTGCTGGGGACCTCTCGGGTCCCAGGACTCCCCTGTGTTTTTTGTTTTGTTTTTGTTTTTATTTCTTTTTGGGTCACACCCGGCGATGCACAGGGGTTACTCCTGGCTCTGCACTCGAGAATCACTCCTGGCGGTGCTCGGGGGACCATATGGGATGCTGGGAATCGAACCTGGGTCAGCTGCGTGCCAAGCAAACGCCCTACCCGCTGTGCTATCGCTCCAGCCCCCAGTGGTGTTTTGGGGACGGTTGAAGTGATCACTTTTCTTGCAACCCCAAGAGGCAGATGTCGCTTGGGGTCTTCCCCTGAAGGCCTCAGCCCCTCTCCGGGAATCCTGGTGTCCATTCTCCGTGGCAGAGAAGCCCCCTGATTTTGCATCTCTCCCCTTCGGACACAGATTGTGAAATTCGACGTTCTCTCTAAGTCATCCTTGAAGTGGGAAGAGGAGCACTGTTGGCCAGCCGAGCCGGTGTTTGTGGCCGCACCCGGCGCCCAGGCCGAGGATGATGGTAAGAGTCGGGAGGGTGAGCTCGCTGCAGTCCCCCGGGCTTACCCACAGCTGCCAGAGCCTGTGGGGTTGGGCCCTGTGGTCGGCCTCAGTTTCCATAGCAGGCCCCAACACACCAGACACCCCTCCTCCTGGCCAAGGTCCAGCATAGTGAACGGAGGCCAGAGAAACGTGCATGGGGCCAGCGCTGGGGGGTGTCCATGGCCTGGGGCTCTCGGACCCCCCACGTCTCCCGACAGTTGTCTGGCCGGCCTGCTCACATGTCTGGGATCTGTCCCGGAGACTTGGCTGACCGGCAGGAGGCCGCGATGGCCCTCGACGCATAGATGCGTGCCCCCAGCGAGGTCAAGAGAGACGCTTTTGAAGGCTGGACCCAGGGGTCACTTCCCAGAGGCGAGCCAGGCATCCCTGCAACTGACAGCACCCTGGAGTCTGCACAACTCCACACTCTCCCTCAGTGGCCGCTTGGGATCCTGAGCAGGTGGCCCTGGCAGGGACCCTGGGGACATGCAGCCCCGTGTCCACACCAGCCTGGGCCTTTCCCTGCAGAGCTGCCTGCCCAGCGCCCAGGGTGCAGGGCGGTGGGGTCGCCTGCAGCTCAGGGGAAGCGGCCACTGGCCAGTCCAACAGAGCCCAGCCTGCAGGGGTCACTCCCAGGAGGGGTCTCAGGCTGGTTCCCAGCGAACAGGTGTGTAGGAGTCCCCTCCTTTCTCCAGAGCACCCGAGGAGAAGCTGAGGCCCAAAGTTCCATCCCTGGGGCCCGTCCCCACGCCCAGTGCCCCTGCAGTGGGGGTTGGAGCGGGGGCACGTGTGCCCCCCACTCAGAGCCCCGGGAGGTGGGATGGGGGTTCGCCTCCATCCTGTAAGGGAGCCCGGGGTACACTCATGGACCCCCACATGCCAGGGAGCCTGGGGCTCACTCACAAGCTCTCTGGGTGCCCAGCCAAGGGGCGTCCATAGCCAAGGGTCAGCTCAAAGCAGGTTCCCCCGAGAAGCTGCTTCCTCAGGATACGGAGAGTCACTTTTTGCACCTGCTTTAGTCACGAAGTGCTGTCAGGTTCACAGGGCCACCACCAAGCACAGAGGACGGTCCCCCAGTCCCTCGTCCCCGCCTGGCCCTCCCTCTGCTCGTGCTCCCTCCTGTGCTGAACTGATGCTTTGCCAGAGCCCTCGAGCGGGAGAGGTACCAAGGCTCATGCACCTTCCACTTTCCCCCCCCCCCCAGGAGTGGTCCTGTCCACTGTCATCTCCACCGACCCCCAGAAGCTGCCGTTCCTGCTCATCCTGGATGCTAAAAGTTTCACGGAATTGGCTCGCGCCTCTGTGGACGCGGAACTGCACCTGGACCTCCATGGGCTGTTTGTCCCGGACGCGCATGGGGCTGCCAGGGAGCAGGTCCCTTCTCAGGAGGAGCAGGACGGGGTCCCCACCGGCTCCGAGGCCCTGAGGAGCTGAGGCCCTGGGAGAAACGGCCCCAGAGCATCGCGGCCAGAGGAAGGAGCTCCTTAGTGTATTTCCTTTCTTTTTTTTTTTTCTTTTTGGGTCACACCCGGTGATGCACAGGGGTTACTCCTGGCTCTGCACTCAGGAGTTACTCCTGGCGGTGCTCAGAGGACCATATGGGATGCTGGGAATCGAACCCGGGTCGGCCGCGTGCAAGGCAAACGCCCTACCCGCTGTGCTATCTCTCCAGCCCCGTGTATTTCCTTTCTGATGTTGTGAGTTCGCTTGTCCTGATCAGCGCCTCAGAGACCGTCTTCCTCGTTATAAAGAACGTGAGTCAGACACTCCTGATATCATGTTGTTCTTGGAACATGCACGGCCTGTCGGGAAATATCTATCCTGTTCCTCCATCCCCTCCCGGCCCGACTTCCCCATCCGTGTGTGGACTCGGGGGCAAGGGGAGCCCTCCTCTCTCTCCATGTCTCACAGAGAGGCACGTGGCCGGGGCCTTCTCCATCTGCCTGCACAAGGAACAGCACTGGAATGCATGTGAAACCTGGAAGTCGGAGTCGGGGAGATAGTACAGAAGGGAGGGCGTGTGGCCGACCCCGGTTCGACCCCCGGCACCCCATACAGTCCCCCGCGCACTGCCAGGAACGATTCCTGAGCGCAGAGCCCGAAGTAACCCTTGAGTATCACCAGGTGTGGCCCCAAAACAAACAAAACAAACTTGAAAGTCGGGGTCTGGGAGATCGATCATACAGCAGGTGGGGCACTCGCCGTGCACACAGTTGATCTGGGTTTGGTTCCTGGCACCACCTGCGGTTCCCAGAGCCCACCGGGAGTGATCCCTGAGCACAGAGCCAGGAGCCAGCCCTGAGCACTGCCAGGCATGGTCATGAGACAACAAATCCCCAAAAGATCCTGGAAAGTCTCTGCTTTCTTCCCGCTGAACTTTGGAGAGTGGCAGAGGGGGCTGGTCAGGCACGGACAGTCACCAGGAGGGGCTGTGGGACTCACTCTTGGCAGGAAGGGGCTCATGGCTGGGTCTAGAGGATGCCCCGGCCCAGGCTGCTGTGGGGTGCTGGGAACCAGTGTGTAGGTGGAAGGGGGTCCCCAGCAGAGTGCTGCCAGGAGAGGGGTGCCTGGGGGAGGGGCAGGAAGCCCGCGGGGTGCTCTCTGAGCACAGGGAGACACAGCGACAGCTGAGTGTCCCCACTGTGGCCTGGGCGAGAGACTCCCTGTTCCCCCAACCCCCTGCCCCTGCCCTGGAGGTTCAGGGATGTGCCTCAAGGCCTGGAGCAAGCCGGTGACAGGCTGGGAGCACCCAGAGGAGACGGCCTTGGCTGTGCCCCACAGTTTGATGAAGTCAGACCCCGTTTCCTCTGTGGCGCAGGCTTGGGGGTCAGGGCTCAGCCGAGCGGAGGAGTCGCGGATTCCCGTGCGGGTCTAAGAGCGAGCACAGAGGGGGCCCGGGCAGCTGACCGTGTCCCCGAGGCGACATCCTGCCCAGAGAAGCCTGGAGGCTGGCGGCAACCCAGGCCTCACTCAGGCCCCGTTCCCGCCCCTCCCCGGGCACTCAGGTTTCACGCGCGTCTGTGTCTCTGCGTCTCGCCCCCTGACTTCCCCCTCCCGCCGTCACAGTCAAGATCGGGGATGAGAAGTTGTCACAGGACCCGTCAAGGTGTTTTTGTCACGGCTCCTCCCTCCCGCCCACTGCCCTCCCACGGCCCGGAAGTCCCAGCAGCTGACATTCCGACACCTCAGAAAGCTGTTCTTGGAGGAGTGACATGTTGCAGGTGCCGGGGGGTGAGCGGTGGCCTCGCAGGACTCCCGGGAGACCTGTCCACGCTGTCCCGTGCTGGCTGCCTCAGCCACAGCTCTGTCCTGTCCGCAGTCCGCAGGGCCACCAGGCTCCCTCAGGCCCCAGGATCTAGAGCCAGATGAACGCGTGCGTGGCCGACACGGGGATTCAGCACCCTGAGCTCTCTAGGGGCCGGGACATCGCTCCATGATCGAGCTCTGGCCTGGGGTACGTGAGGCCTTGAGTTGGACCCTGGGCGGTACGGAAGGAAAGGCAGGGGACGGGACTCTGGGCGATGATCTGACAGCTCCCGGGGGACCCAGTGGCAGTCCACCAACAACCCAGCCGCTGTCCCTGTCCCCGGCTGCCCACTCCGTCTGCCCCCCTGTGTCCGCTGTGCCCAGCTGCACCTGCTCCCTCTTGGCTGGGCCCCACGGCACAGGCCCCCAGCCCCAGGCCCCTGCCCTCCTGTCAGAGTCCGGGGCTCTCCGTTCCTGTGGCCTGGGACTAGGTGACACTGAGGCGGTGCCCGGCAGGTCTGCGGGAGCGGCCTGCCCTCACCTGCTCACCATCTACTTTAAATATTTGAGCAGAGGGCGGCACTCACAGCCTCCGCCACCCCCGCGCCGCTCAACCCAATTGATAAACAGGCCTTGGGACGGTCTGGGCAGGGGGCAACGCCACGGGACGGGCAGGGCAGCTGCAGCCTGTTTACCCGGTCGGAGGCGACAGAGGAGACACGAGCCCAGGGGCCTGGCAGAGCGACGCCCTCGGTTTCACGGGCACCCAAGGGCCTGGGCGGCCGCGCGCAGGTTCCCACACAGGCTTCCCGGAAGGGGCCCCTGTGTCCAGCTCCTCTGTGCCCTTGTGCCAGCCCACTCTGCTGCCTGTGTGCGTGGTGGGGCGAGGGCTCCAGCGTCTCCCAAGGGCCCTCGCCCTGACCGACGGCAGGAACACCCCTCCCCCCCTGCTGGGGGCTGTCAGAGGCAACTAAGGCTCGAGCAGATACGGGAGCGGGAGGGAGAGACTCAGGACAAACGGACACCCCCTCCCCCCAGCTCTGAGCACCTCCGGCATTGTCGGTTGGGGCCGACCCGCTGGGCAGACCGCAGAACCCCCTGGGTCACCCCCCTAGTGGTCAGCAGACTGAATGTCCCCTCCCCCAGCTGCCCCTGCACGCCAACTTCCGGGGGTTGGGATTGGAGCCCCCCCAAGCCCTCCCACACAGCTGAGAGGCACACAGGAAACAGTCTCTGGAGGGCGACTCCAAGTGAAAAGGCCAAGGGTTTCCTTGGACACGTCGAACCCAGGGAGTGTGGGAGTCTGTGAGGGTGCAGCCAAGGGGCAGCCTTCCCTCCTCCCTGCCGTCAGGGCGGGCTTCCTGGAGGAGCGGACCTTCAGGAGCTGCGGGAGGGCCAGAGGGCCAGCGTGTTTGCGGATCAAGCCACGGGGGCCACTTCAGATGAGGAGCTGGACGCCAGTGTGGGTGGACAAAGGGCAGGAAGGAGAAGAGGCGATCTGGGGGTTCTCTGCTTCCAGAGGCTGGTTGTGTCTGGGGGTCCCGGTTCTGATGGGGGCGTGCTGGGGGGTTCTCTGGGCGTGTGTTCAGGGCCGTGGCACATGCCTTGTCTCTGCGGCACCAATGCCCCATGGCTCCCTGGGCACTGCCCGTGCCCCCCACGCCCAAAGAACAAATCCTTTGTGTTCATTGTGGAACATTCGGAATGTTCTGGGAGGAAGGAGAGAAAGAGACAGACCCACAGGCCCACACCAGCCCTTCCCCCAGCCCCCGAAATCCTTCTGGTGTCTTTTTTTCCAGCACTTAAATGTTTTCTGTGGCCCTTTCACGCATGAATGACCCATTTATAGCTGCCTTTAAAAAAAAAATCAGTGAGTGATTCCAGAATCTCCCCCAGGGCAGCAGCTTCTTCCCAGGGGTGGGGTGGGCGCAGACAGCATCCCGGGAAGGCGCTGTCTCCAGCCCGTCTTAACTACACCGGCATATTTTATACCATAAAGTCACTTATTTGAGGTGGAGTGCCCCGGGCCAGGGACCTAGTGCAGTGAGTGAGGCACTTCCTGGAGTTAATCCCCAGCCCCACTTACGGCTCCTGAGCCCCGCCAGGAGTGGCCCCTGAACGCCACTAGGTGTGGCCCCTAAACCAAAACACAGTCTAAGATATATATTGTTAATTGTTGTATTTTGGGGGAATGGGGGCCCCCATCCACAGTGCGTGGGGGATCATGGGGTTGAACCCAGAGCTCCCACATACAAACATGTGCTCAGGCCCTTGAGCCGCTCTACAGACCTTTAGGACTGTGTCTGTTGTCTTAATCTGACTCATCATCCCCGGGGGATCTTCACGGCCTGGGAGGGAGCAGCGGCTCCAGACTCAGCGCCTGGCATTGGTCCCTCTCTAGATAGCACAGCGGGTAGGGCGTTTGTTTGCCTGGCACGCGGCCGACCCAGGTTCGATTCCTCTGCCCCTCTCGGAGAGCCCGGCAAGCTACTGAGAGTATCTCGCCCGCACGGCAGAGCCTGGCAAGCTCCCCGTGATGTATTCGATATGCCAAACACAGTAACAACAAGTCTCACGATGGAGATGTTACGGGGCCTGCTCGAGCAAATCGATGAACAACGGGAGGACAGTGTCACAGGACGGTGTTTAAAGTAGTTCACGGGGGCTGAAGTGATAGCACAGCGGGTAAGGCGTTTGCCTTGCATGCAGCCAACCCGGGTTCGAATCCCAGCATCCCACACGGTACCCTGAGCACCGCCAGGAGTGATTCCTGAGTGCAAAGCCAGGAGTAACCCCTGTGCATCGCTGGGTGTGACCCAAAAAGCCAAAAAAAAAAATAAAGTAGTTCACAATATTTGATTACATTTAATATTCCAACACCAAGCCCACCACCATTATACCTTTCTACCACCATATTTCGAATGTTTCCATCCCAAACCCCAAACCCTGCCCCCAAAACAGAACCAAAATAATTTGTTTTGTATTGCTTTTAAAAATTTTTTTAAATTGAATATCTGTGAGATAGACCATTACAAAGCTGTTCATAATTGGGTTTCAGCATACAATGATCCGACACCCATCCCTCCACCAGGGTACATTTCCCACCACCATCCCCTAACCCCTCACCCCACCCCCACTTTCTCTCTCTCTCTCTCTCTCTCTCTCTCTCTCTCTCCTTTTATGCATTATGGTTTGCGATACAGGTGCCAGGAGGTCATGGTGTGTGTTCAGGGCATTTGGTATTTTTATCGGGACAGTAAGGCTGGAGGAGCTTTCCAATTGGTGGAAGCTTTGGGGTGTGTGTGTGACTGCTGAGGCTTCCGGAAGTACAGGGAGGTAGGGGTAGGTAGCCCATCCTGACCTTGAGAAAGCCTGGAGATTTCAGTCACAAAACCTGCATCTCTATTGTTTGTTATGAATAATCCGCTAAAAATGATCCAAAAAGGTTTCTTAGAGGAAAGTGTGTGAAGATCGTCGTATTTCACCAGGAGCATTGGTCTGCGTTGAGCC